CGTGGCCAGCGGGTGGCCACGAGGCCCCTGGCCGTCGCTCGGGCCGCGGCGGGGAGGGGGGGCGGCGGGGGGCGGCGGGAGCAGCGAGCGAGGGAGGGAGGTTCAATCGAGAAGCTCAGTCGAGGAGCGGGGGAGCGGAGAGCAGAGGAGCGGGGAGGGAAGTTCAATCGAGGCCAGGGCGAGGAAAGAGATTCGGGCGAGGGTGAATCGGGAGGCTCTGAGATCCCGCGGCTCTGGACGGAGGGGAGAGGGAGTGGAGGGCGAAAAGACGGCATAAAGATTTGCTTTTGGAGCTCCGCGCGGATTCCTTGGATCTGCGCTGGAGCCCGCCCTCGGCGGCGCCTCCGGCGCCGCCTCTGGCGCGCCCCGCGCGCCAGTGAGGGGGGTTCAGCGCCGATTCAAGAAATCCGCGCGGAGCTCCATCTTCGAAGCATGAGGGGAGGGAGGGAGGCAGCAGGATGAGGGGGAGAGGGGGAGGGGAAGATCGGATCGCACTCGTGGAGCTGAGGCTTCGCCTCCGCGCCACCGCGAGATTGCCGAGTTGGAAGGGTTGTTCACGGGAGCTGTGAGTGGCGAGAGGCTGGTGGCCACCGGCTTGCGGCGCGACCTCTGCCCGGGCAGAGCGATGGAGAGGGGGACCAGGAGGAGGACATTAGGGGAAAGGGAAGGGAATCGGAAGGGGGTGGGGCGAGGGGGGGACGGAACAGGAGGAGGACGAGGGGGGGAAAGGACCATAGGGGGGGGCGAGGCGGGGAAAGGACTAGGAGGAGGACGAAGGGGGGGGGAAAGGACCAGGACGGGGAGAAGGACCAGGAGGAGGAAGAGGAGGAGGAGGAGGAAGAGGAGGAGGAGGACGCGGAGGAGGAGGAGGAGGAGGAGGAGGACGAGGGTGGCGCCGAGGAGGGGGAAGAGGAGGATGCAAAGGTGAGGAGGGCGAGGAGGAAGGGTAGGGAGGGAGAGGGAACAGCATGAGGAGGAGGAGGAAATGGAGGACAGGAGGAAGAGTAGAGCGGACGAGGCAGGAGGACAAGGACAAACAAAACCTAGAATTGATCAGCGATGCTGTTCCATGGCCATCCAGGGGCCGCCGACGTGTGTTGGAGAGAAGGAAGGTGGGAAACACTGAATCCAAGGGTGTGCGCAAGGAGGACAAAGAAGAAAAGAGGGAGGACAGATCAGGAGGAGATGGGGGGAGGGAGGAGCAGGGGGATGCGAACTGGAGGGCGCAGGGAGGAGGGAGCGGGAGGAGGAGTAGGGAACGGCGCAAGGCAGTGAGAGGGAGGGGTAGACGCGGAGGGAGAAGTAGCGAGGGGGAGGGGGCGCGGATAAGAATGAGGGAAGAAGAGGGACAAGCGGCAGCAAGAGGATTAGGACAGACGGACAGACGGAGGTGTAAGAGGAGGATCTGACTCGCGCGAGGGGCGAAGTTCTGAAGTGCGCGTCAAGCCCGCGCGTCAGATCGGCGGAACGGCCTTGCCTTCAAGCCCGGTGAGCTTCTCGCTGACCTCCAATCCCAGGCCAGGAAGAAGGGAGAACGAGGAGGAGCAGGCGCAGGAGAAGGTGAAGAAGAAGGCGGGAGCGGGGAGGGGGGGGGAGGGGGGGGGGGGGGGGGGGCAATAGGCGATGAGAAGGACGAGCCTGATGACGGAGGAGGAGGAGGAGGAGGAGGGAGGAGGAGGAGGAGGAGGAGGACCCTCCTGAGAACAGGAGAGAGGAGGAGGAGAGGAGGAGGAGGAGGAGGAGGAGGAGGAGGAGGGGAGAGGAGGAGGAGGAGGAGGAGGAGAGGAACTGGAGTAGAGTGGAGCAGACCGAGAGGCGCATGGGTGCGTCGGCCGCGCCCGCTGCCCTGAGCCGCCCGCGGTCCGCCCGCGGGCGAAGCGGCGCGCCCCTGCGCGGCGCAAGGCCGAGGGCCCCCACCCACAGGGGAACGTGGTGTGTTCGACCCTCGGCCCGTGGTGAGGCACCACGGCCAACGGCCTGGCCAGCGGCCCGCCCCGCGGGCAACCTGGCCCGGCCGCCTCAGCCGCGCTGCTGCCCGCGGCAGGCTGGGCGACGGAGGCGGGTGGGGCATCCGGGGCAGCTGCGCAGGCGGCCAGGACGTCCCGCGCGGACGTGTGCCACGGCGCCGCCCCCCAGCCGCCCAGCCCGCGGGCGGCTGGGTCTTCCCTCTGCATCGCCTCCTCCATCGTCGCGTCGCAGGCCAGCTACTCCTGCGGCAGCCCAGCCCGCAGCGCCCAGGCCCTCGGTCAGCGGCGGCGACGGCTCGGAGGTCAGGATGACCCGTCCGCCGCGCGAAACAGGGGGCCTCGCCTCGGGTTGGTCAGCCCCTCGATGGGCCCCAGCTGCTCCAGCTCGGCGACGGGAATGACGTCGGCCACGGCGTCGGGCACGGCGTCGGGCTCGACGTCGGGGCCCGCCCTGATCTCGACGGTGGCTGCCGTGATCAGCGATATCATGATGAGGGCGCGCCTTGCAGCCGAGCTGGCCTCGTCGATGCTCG